AGGCTGGTCTCGCATTGTTGGACATCCCGGAGGAAGAGGTGGAAGACGTGAGATTGCACCAGCACCTCTCGCCGCGTCTCCCAGCTCTGCAGCAACTTGCCCCAGCCCGCGTCCAGCTTCTGCAGCCACTGCTGCAGCGAGAGGTAAGGGACCTCCGTCTCCTCCAAGGCCAAGAGGTCGCTGGCCGCCTGGATCTTGGCGTAGTCCTCCTCGTAGCCGTTGATCTCCTCCTTGAGGGCCGCGTGTTGGTTCAACAACCTCTCGGCTTCGGCCAAGCTATCCGGCACTTCCTCGGAGGCGACGGCCGCTTGAGTCTTCACCAGCCAACCCAGGAAGTTGTCCAAGTCTTGGATGAACTGCTGCAAGCGACCGGCGACGGTCAAGGAGTCCTCGCAACCTTGCAGCGCCCGCTTCAGGGCCTCCCACTCCTCGCTGATCTGCTCGAAGGGCAGCAGGATCTCCAGGGCTCTCCCGGGGTGGGAGGCGGCCAAGGCTTCACCTTCTCTTTGAAGCTCCACCAACCGAGGTTCCAAAACCACCAAAGCCGCCTCCATGGTGGAGAGGCGGCGTTGTAAGGCCAAGACGCCGCCCAGGTCGCCGCCGCCGGACTGGGTGGCTTCGATGGCTTTTCTCTTCTCCCGCACCTGCGCCTTCATCTCGCCGCACTCCAGCAGGTAGTTCTGGATCTTCAGGACGGAGCCGAGTTGGCTCTTCTTGCGCTCCACCAGCTCCACCACCCGGTTCCACCTGGGGATGGGGATGGAGGTGGGACGGGACCAGGAGTGGGGTCCGTTGGACGTCGCCGACCCTTGGGGTGGGCTTGGCCCATTGCACCAGAGAGCTGGACCCCACAGGGACGTCCCACCAGGCTGGGACCCCACAGATGGTTCCCCCCCATCCGGGAGCCCCCCCAAAGCAGGATGAGGCCGACCTTGGGCATCGCTGACCCCCAGGACGGGCTCAGCCCCACAGCTCGGCCCCCTCCCCACGCCGGTACCTGCTGTTGAGGTGGTCCTGGCAGGAGCGGACCTCCTCCGAGCTGGGGTGGCCCCCGTCCACCAGCTGCTGCACCACCTGGTTGACATCCAAGATCCGTCCCATGACGCTGTTCATCTCCTGGTCCAGGCTCTCGAACCTGGAGAGGCAGATGTGAGCGGGGCGGGGTCCCCCGGTGGGGCGAGGGACCCACGGCGCCCGGCTGCGTTCCCACCCCCCCCTGCCCCACGCACACAGACCTATGTTGGACCACCTCAACCTCATCCAGCTCCTCCGGCACCTCCATCCTCTCCAGCCACTGCTCCTTCTCGTCCACCCAGACCTCGCAGGCGTGCACCTCGCTGAACATGCGGTAGACGGCCAAGGCGTCCTGCAACCACTGCTGCCGCAGCACGGCCACCTCGGCCACCTCCTCGTAGAGCTGCTCCACCTCCACCACCCGGATCTGCACGTCAACCCCTTGGCGATGCTCGGGTGCCAGAAGAGCCAACTGCTTCCGGAGGGCCAACACGGCCGCCCGGTGCTTCTCCACCTCTTCCACCACCGCCCGGTGCTTCCGTAGAAGCGCTTGGGTGGAATAGTCGTCGTGGCCGAAGTCGTCGCTGGAGACGATGCGGTAGGTGTCCTGCAACCAGGCCACCAGGTCGTCCGTCTCGGCGCTGAACTGGAAGAAGCTGAGGGCCTCCTGCAGCCGTTGTTGGTGCAGCCCCGTCACCTCCTCCAGCTTCTTCCAGCGGAGGCGAACCTCCCGCATCTTCTCCTGGATCCCACCGGGGCTGAAGCGTTTCTTGGCCAAGATCTGCTCGCCCCTCTTCATGGTCTGGTGCAAGAGCGCCCGTCGGCTGCCCAGCTCGCCCAGCATGCTCTTGTGCTTGTTGGTCAACGTCAAGACGCTGCTCAGGTCCCGGCCGCACGTCTTGGCGGCCAGGATCTGCTCCTTCTCGCGGATCCAGGCCTCGGCCTCCTCCATCTCCTGGAAGAAGGCCCAAAGCTGGCAGGAGTCCTCCAGCTCCTTGCGTCTCTTGCCCGCCAGCTCGCCCAGCTCCTCCAGGCACGTCTGGACGTGGTTGACCCGGTTGCAGATGATCTGGGGGTCGCAGGGTTGGTAGCCTGGGCCGGGGGAACCGGATCTCAGCGGAGACAGTCTACGACACCCTGAAGACCTTGGTTGACCCCTCCCAAGGCCAAGCATCTCCCCGTCCTCGTGGTGCCCGTCCCGGTGCCCCAACGTTACCCTCCAGCTCCGAGAACTTGAGGGCGGCGGCGTTGAGCGCCTGCACCCGCTCGGTCTGGGCGGAGATGTCGGCCTCCAGCAGCCCGTGCTTCTGCAGCAGGTCCTCGACCTCCAGGAGATGCTTCCCCAAATCCTTGGAGACCAGCAGCACCTGGGGAAGGAGGCCACGGGGTCCAGACCCACCCGCCACGTCCTCCATGGGGCTTGCCCGGTACCCACCACGCCCCCAGCTCTACCTGCATCTCCTCCATCCAGTCAATCATGTAGACCATCTCCTGGAAGATCTTCTGCAGGGCCAGGTTCTGCTCCAGGCGGGCACGGCGGGCGCAGACCAGCTCGGTCAGCAGCCCCCACTGCCGAAGGATGTTGTCCTTCTGGGCGCTGATGCGTTTGGTGTCGTAGTAGCCCTCGGACTCCATCTCCAGGGCCAGCTCCACCACCACCTGGATGCGCTCTTGGTAGGAGGAGATGTCGGCCTCGATGGCCTCGTGCTTCTTCATGGCGGCCTCCA